GCACTGGGGACCTAATTATAGCACTTAAAACCTGGAAAAGTCAGATTTTCATGATATGTCACCTTTAAAAAAAAGGTGAAGGTTTAATTTTTCTGATGTTGAATTACTTTTTCCAATCACAACTTAATACGCAGAATCAACTATAAGTAAGCTATTGGTAAGTTAATTTTTTTTTTTACATCCCGAAACAGCAGCATTGGCTCAACCAATTGTAACGGTGGTTGTCTTGTCCCAAAATATAACAAAAGTTAAACACCAAAAAAAAAAAATGTGTGAATTGAGGAGTGGGACTGTTTGTTCGGAAAAGTTTTTTTTTTTTGGGTGGTGATAGTGGCACTGTTAAACAAGAAAGCTTCAAGTAGCTAATTCATCTTCGTGATCAAGGTTCTTCATTGTTCTGGTTACTGTATTCCAGACGGTCAGTGAATCCCCTTTGCCTTTTCTCTTTCTTCATATTCACAGCCATCATGACTGACAGGAAGGCAGTAATAAAGAATGCTGATATGTCTGAGGACATGCAGCAGGATGCAGTGGATTGTGCCACACAGGCCATGGAGAAGTACAACATTGAGAAGGACATTGCTGCATATATCAAAAAGGTCACCCATCCACACAATATTTATGATTGACACCTCTACAGACTTCAACAGTATTTTATTGAAGACATTATTTCCTGTTTTATCTTGATTCTTAGAAAGATTCAGTGAGACTGCATGAATAGTTCACCCAAAATGAAAATTTGCTGAAAATGTACTCGCCCTCAGGCCATCCAAAATGGAGATTAGTTTTTCTCATGGGAACAGATTTGGAGCATTACACCACTCCCCAGTGAATGGGTGCCGTCAGAATGAGAGTCTAAACAGCTGATAAAAACATTACCATAATCTACACAACTCCAGTCCATCAATTAATGACATGTGAAGCGTAAAGCTTGTAATAAACCCATCATTAACTTCAAATATTTGCTTCTGGCTAAATAGGAGTCCTTTATCCATAATATTGCTTTCTCCAGTGAAAAGTCATCTCATCTGATTTAGGAGAGAAATAAACCCAGCACTGTTAACAAGTGAAATCAGTTCAAAACGAATATGTTGGTGGATTTTCATGTGAGAGGACCACTTTTTCCGCTGGAGGAAGCGTTATTGATTCTTGACTTGTAATTTGGACAGAAGTGGCGTTTTAAAATTAAAACACCTTGATGCATTTGTTTCTTAGAAAGTTGCAGCATTTCACTTGACATGACGTTAATGGATCATCTGGAGTGGTGTGGATTATTGTGAGGTTTTTAACAGCTGTTTGGCTCTCATTCTGACGGCACCCATTCACTGCAGAGGATTCATTGGTGAGCAAATGCTAAATTTTTCCAAATCTGTTCCAATGAAGTAAAAAGCTCATCTACATCTTGGTTGGCCAAAAGAATGAGTACATTTTCACCAAATTTTCATTTTTGGATTAACTATTCCTTTAATTATTGTTTGATTTCAAATTTTTTTTTTTTTGTGAAATAAAAACAAAAATCGATTAACATTGAATTTGTAATACACTTCAATACTTTGAAACTAATGTTCAGCCAAATCTTTCATTGACCCCCACCCACCCACCGCCCAAATGTATTATGTAACATTACTTTTTAATGAAGAGTATGTACATTATTATTATTTGTGCATTTGCAATATACACATCATAAAATATGTAAATACATGAATATGGACCTATACACTGTTGTTGTAGGCTAGGCCTTCTAGAATACTGCTGCTCCTAGTAAAGTATAAATTACTGTTCTTGCTTTTCAACAGGAGTTCGATAAGAAGTATAATCCGACATGGCATTGTATTGTGGGACGGAACTTTGGCAGTTATGTTACGCATGAAACGAAGCATTTCATCTACTTTTACTTGGGTCAAGTGGCCATTCTGCTCTTCAAATCGGGCTGAGGGAACCGCTGTTGTTCATGAAAGTTGGACATCAACTCCAAACCTGGACTGTGATGCACTGATGGCTTGAGCCACACTCTCTATACACACACACACACACACACACACACACTTACATTCTCTCCCACATACACACTCGTGAATTTAGCTATAGAGGCTGTGCATAAATGCATGGACCGTGTATATTATTTAATTTGTATATGTTGCAATACAGTAACTTTTTTTGCTTTCTGTAGTTGCACGAGTTGACGCAACAAGATGATTTTTGTTAGTTTTTTCCAAGTCCAAATTTGTTTTGCACTGATGTTGTACAAGACCGCTGCCTTTAAATTATATTAAAGAATGATATGTCATACATATTTTGAGTATAAAGTGAATCTTTTTTTAATTTTTTTTTATTGTAGATCCAAACAGGATTGTCTGCATTCCGTTTCTAGTTAAAGGGTTATTTCACCCAAAAATTAAAATTCTTTCATTAATTACTCACCCTCGTGTTGTTCCAAACCCATAAGACCTTCGTTCATCTTCGGAACACAATTAAAGATATTTTTGATGAAATCTGAGGGCTCTCTGACCCTCCCATAGACAGCAAGGTAACTACCACGTTCAAGGTCCAGAAAAGTACCAAGA